TGTAAACCAGACATTTGAAGCAGTGCTGCCTGTCTCCACTAAGCGCTCCAGTCACCCAGGAAATCCTGTGGTCCATGCTCTTAAGAGTTTTTGTTAACAGTTAATCTGGGTGTTTGGCATATGTCCATAGGGCCATTTAAGTATTGTCTGCTGGAACGTATAGTGTATGTCCTAAAACCCTTAAAGGCTTAACCAAAACCCTTTGTGCTTATGCTCCATTTCCCCGAGAGGCTGAACACAAATAGCATTGTTGTGTTATCGATTATAAATCCACTAATCCCAATAATTTCCTGTGCGTGTCCCCAGCACCCCATCGCCGTCGCACGTAGACAGCGAGCCCCACAGGCACGCGCCGTGCCAAACTCCCTCAGGGATCTTACCAGCCCGGAGAGCTATGTCTAACTCGAGAAAATCCAGGAACACAAAGAATGGAGCAGGAAAAAAAAAAAGGTGGAGGAAGAAAAGGGCAAAACAGGAGTCAGAGGAGCCGTGGGTGGGATTTCCGAAAGCCACGGGGTGATCGTGGGACAAGGGGCATCTCCTCGGACCAGATATGGCAAATTCAGCTAGTGCCCCTCTGGAGGCTGCTTTCTACGGCCCTTCATTCTCGTGCAATTGGACTGGGGGACAATTTAAAGAACAGGGTTGCAGGCATCCACACGCTGGCCCAGGTCTCCGCTCGCCGCCTGCTCAAGGCTCCCCGGGGTTGGATCTTGCCAGGTGGGAACGTGGTGCAGGTCTCACTCCCTGGTTCACCCTGTACCCGCCCTGCAAAGGAAGAGGCTGCAGCTCCCTGGGTGTCAGGCAGGTGCTTAGCTGCAGTTAAGGCAGTACTTTGGGGACAGAAAAGGCTATTTGAGTCTTGCTATTTGAGCAAGAAGTACCTATCCAGGATGGAGCCTGTGCCTCTGCAAATGCTTTTTCAAAGGCACCTAAAAACAACAGATATTTGAAAACTGCAGACCTTTTCCTTGCATTTAGCTTGGGCACACTGCCTCCTGAACCTTAACAAAACTGCAAGAGAGAAGCATTAAGCATTATTTGCTGAACGTACTTTAGTCAAATAATGTGTCTTTCCCCTTTATCTCAGGCTGTTCCCCTGAAGCAGAAGAAATTGAGGGTGAATACACCCTGCTGCAGCAGCAGATCTCCACTGCAGGACCACACTGCACTGGCTTTAACTGCACATAACTGCACACCTGCTTTCACACAGCACTGCACAGGAACAGCACTGTTCCACAAGCTGCCTTCAGTTTCTGTCTTTGGAGGGCAGCTATTCCTGACCAAACTGATCAGAAGGCAATTTTAGCTGGATGAGTGTCACTTCAGCCCTCTTAAAGCCTATGCTTCTGACTCATCAGTTGAAATTTGATCAACTTGACCTTTTCCAGACCTAAAATGCAGCAGTGCACCAAAAAAACCCACAACTAAGGCATGTAGAAAAGAGAACAAGTGACAGATTATTGCATTGACTTGTATTATAGCAGTTGGAAGACAAAAGGAAGTCTACTGAAGCCAAACCAGCCGTTTACGGGCACTGTGCCACCCCGCTGGGTACTTGCAGAGGGGCTCCCAGCTGCATGTGCTGCTCCAGCACCAGCTGTCTCGGCCTCTTTCCTCAGGTCTCACCTAACACCACTCAAAGAGCAGCGAGGGGGTGTCTGAGCTTGGGTTACGGCCCTGCTGGTGCAACATGTGCCACCTTCGGGAATAGAAATGAACAGACAAGTCCATTGGCAACCTCAGCATCTAAAACCGGCGATCAATTACAACCCAAGCTCCCATAGTCCCTCTATAACTGGGGGATCAATAACCAGGTAGGGCACAAGCAGCATAACACCCAACAGTATGTGCAAACAGGGCCACTGAGGCCTGCAACATCAACCTTCAGAAGGCCAAGTCAGAGGTTATCAGAGCATCTTAGCAAGGCATGAGGTCCCTGTCAAACAGGTAAAGCCCAACACAGGAAGCCTTTAACAAACCTGAAGCCAAGAGCCACTTCCCAGCTCTAATACACAGATCTCACCAGCACATTTTCCTGATGGATGCTAGATGACAGACACTGCAAATGACCAGCTACCAGGGGACAAACACCCCCTACATATTCCCCACACACACAGGTGCACTCTCATACAGGTGTCTTCCCTGCAGGAGATTCATCCAAACAGTTGCACCTCTTGCAGAGGAATTCCCAAGGCAGCAGACTGCCCGTGAAAGGCTTTCTCAGGCCTCCCTTTCCAGGGAGACCTGCACAGGGCTCCCAGTCAACCCTTGATTAGTGCAGCACAGCCCACTTCCTACTTAAGGACGCAAAAACATAAGAGGCTTGTTTTTATTTTTAGTCAGTGACTCATTCTCATCTCACAGCCATTTCAAAAGGCACAGAAAGAAACTGCTCAGACGCCTCCTTTTGGGGTTTTCAAAACCATAAATAAATGGTATGGATTCATCACACTGATTCTAACTTAGCCTTACTCTGGTTCAGTTTTGCTGAAATTGGTCTTCAACTACATTTCAAACACCCTCAGAGCCTCTATGCCCTTTCCTTTTAGTCTTTGGAGTCAGCTTGTTCATCTCTCTGGAAAGAGCTCAAGTCCTTGGGCATGGCAGCCCCGTTACAGCACTGGCTGCAGTTCACAATCATTTTCCTCATGCAAATCATTTGCAGCGGATTGCAATATCTACATGCAATGCCCTGATAATATATCACACAGAGTATCATGGGTACCGCCTGGGGCTGATAAAAGGGAAGAGATGTTGAAAAATTGCATCTTTGTCCTTCGTATCCCGGCAGCAGCATCGCAGCTGCTGCCTCCGTGCCAGGAAACACAACAGGCACCCACAAGGACTCCGAGCGCTCAGAGAGCATCCAGGCTTCGGCCTGAATGGCCTCTAGTCCCGCCTTATTCCCGCCACATGCAGAAACCAGGAGAGCAGGAGGGAACAAGCTGCTCGTGTCCCGGCAGCRCAGCCAAGGAGCCGGTCTCAAAGGGGGCCGCAGGCTCCAGCGCCCGCGCAGGCCTGCACAGCTCCCTGCCCGCGGAGCCACGGGAAGAGGAAAGGCAAACAAAAGGGAAGGAAGAATAAATAAATAAATAAACAAGCAAATAAAGGAGGCAGGCAGCCCCCAGGGCCGTGCCACACGATGGCAGCCTTGGCGCACAAACGGCTCCGCACGGCGCGCGGACGGCGCTGAGCAGGCCCAGCGCTGCGGCCCGGCTGCCTCTCCGCCCCGCTGAGGGTGAATGTTGAAACGCTGCTCGCTGCGAGGGAGAGGGATGAAACCCCTTGGAGAGCTGCAGCCAGCGGGAGCGTCCACCCACCAGCCTTCCCGCATCGCAACTTCAAATGAAGAGGGGGAAAAAAAAATCACAATACTTAAGTAAATGCATAGGAGGGACTTGGAATAATTTAACCAAGCCTTCGGACAAAAGTCAGGGCAGAGCAAAAGGTGTCAAGGGAGTTTGTTAATCTGCCAGAAACATGTGGTGACTAAATAAGTAGTTACTCCTCTGAATATGTTTCGCACTGGGTCCCTCCTGCACTCGCTCAGGGTATTTCTGTATTTCCCCACGCAAGCTGCCCGTGTGGCAAGCCCRTGCACACACTGCACCCTGCTAGCACAAAGCATAAGAGCTCCTCAGCATGGGGAAGCAAATTCTCCAACATACAAAGAAAAAATGAAAAAAGTCACCCTTAACTCCCTCAGAGGAGGGCCGTGAAATAAGGGCAAAACACACATGTAAGACACAATAAAGGACTCTAATTAGATATTATTCTCTTGGTGCTTTGAAGTTGCAGAGCATTATCTACTTTAAGTGCTACACATTACAAGCAATTAAATATGTCCTGGTAGGTGAGACAAAGAGAACAAATGACTGTGGAAAAATAATGACATAGGCTGCCTCTAGCTCAGCATACTCCAGGGAAATGGGATTTTCCTTCYGTTTATAGATCTGGAGCTGACGTTCTTCCAGGTGTTTGATCCTGTTTCTCTTCATATGGATACAAAAAACTCACTGGCTGGTGAGAGAACAGGTCTAGGTCAGCAAGACCAGCAGCAAACAGCAGCACTCCCAGCACACTCCTCTTTTGCAGTCTATTTGTCCTACTTAATTTCCACAAGCACTTGAGCCTTTCCTGACCAAGTGAGCTGCTGCCTGGAGCCTGTCACGGCCCTGGTGTGCACCGTGCTGGGGGCACCCTGTGCACCTCAGCTCCCTCCTCGGCATCTCCTGCTCTGCTGCACACGGGCAGGTCGGCCCAGCCTCTCGCRCACTGACAGAGCGAGCACTTGTGCCAGAAAGCCACAAAATGGTCTAAATCCAATGACTAAGTAGCACGCCCTACTGCCTCAATTATACATGTAAATGAACTTCAGAAAGGACAAGTCTTATTTGTTTTGCCATTAAAAAAAAAAAAGTCAGAAAAGTTAGCCACAGCTGCGCAGGGAGCTCCATGTGCTTTCCAAAGGCAGCAAGGCCATGGAGCCTCAGGCCTCCTAAGAAGCTGCTGTCACTCTCTAAACTTCATGCCCTTTAACAAGGGGTTGGGTCTGCAAAAATTAAAAGCTCAAAAACCCCATGTACGCATAGCACAAGAGTTACTGTCTCTGTGCATCTCTCAGCCCCTCCAGGAGATGGTACCAGTGGAGCACCCCTATGTGAGGGGCAGAGSACAGGGTAGGAACCTGCTCTGTGCACCCTTTAGAGAGCCCAGCAGCATCCGGGACAGACTGTTATTAACTTGTTAAGTGACATAATGTGAGCACACCTTGGGTAACAGCGGGACACACTGCTCTGCTGGAGTCTGCCCAGTAACTGCCACACACCACCTAGGGCCCGATTCACATTAGGTGCAGTTTTCAGCTGACCTAAGCATAGTGCCCAGCCAGAAAAAATAAACAAACAAAATCTTATACCAGAACTGCAGCAAGGGTTCCATTGCAATAAAATTAATAAACCTAGAACTAAAGTTTAGGCCACCAACTGAAAACTTACCCCTAGACAGATCTGAGAGGAATTCAGGACCTGGAGCTCTTCCTTGGGCAAGCATACAAAGGGCCAACAAGTGGAAGGGGAGAGCCTAATGAAGGCTAAATTAATCAGTTAATTATTTATCCAGGGACAGCTGTGGGGAGAAGTACAGAGGAGAAAATGTCTGTTTCTGGGCAGTGGTTGTTCAGTCTCTGGGTTAGAGGAGTTGTTTGCTAGTGAAGAAGCAGGTTTCCTAAACAGAAAGCAGTCCTAGGATGGCTTCAGTTTGATGTTGTACTGAAGAATTTAGGTGCATTTGAGGTGAAGAAGAAGGGCACCCCGGAGCCCAGTGCAGGTGTCAAGTAAAGCCAAGTGCTGGGATGAGTGATTTTATGTTATTCTGAAACAAATTAGTGCTCTGAATGAGTGGCTGCCAGCCCGCAGGCTCTGCCCAGCTCCCAGGGCCTCGCAGTCCAGTGTGAAGGCAAAGCACATGCCCAGCACTCGGGTAATTGTCTGAGGGCAACTCCAAGGCCTTTGTCTTTGGGGACTATTCATCCTGAACTCTGATATTTGCTATTATCAGAGCTTAGGGGGGCATTATTAGACCTACTAATAATGAAACAGATTGCAATGAAAAGGCCAAGATAAAATGTGGCTCTTTACCTTGCTTCCCTAAGGCTAACCAGGGATGGGAGGCTGCATCCAGATTGGGCTGCTCCCTCTGGCCTTCTAAGAGCAAGCAGATAATGGAGGACAAGGGCACTTGGCCTTTTAAATGCAACAAGGGAACGGAGCATTTGCACCCACTCATTTAGATAACATGCCTCCCTGGGAAAGGCACCTTTTTCTTCTTTCCTTCTAACAGGCTCAGCAGTTCTCCCTGCAATTAAGCTCGGCTTTGCGCTTTGCTCTGGGAAAGCAAGAGGAGGTTYGTCCTGTTGGACGTATTCGTGGTGCTGCTGGATGAGCTCAGGGCCCGGCTGCAGGGCCCGTCCATCAGCACCCTGCTCTCATTATCATGTGTGCTCACCCACAGGATTTTTAAAACATGGAGCAATATAATACCTGTGGTTATCCTTTGTTTGGAGCTGATTATCTTTCCAGAAGAACCACAGAGGAAATAATTGTCCCAATTTGCAGAAATGAGGCACCCAGCCTCCTGAGTTACTTAGTGCTTGATGGCCCGCTGGGCTCGGCAGGGCTTGGCCACCCCAGCATTGCTCGTGCTGTCCAGCCCAGCACAGAGTCTGGATCCAGGAGCACACACAGGGACGCACAAGTACATCAGGCAGAGGCATCCTGCTGCTGAGCAGCTAGGGCTCAGCAAATAAGGCCAGTTTTAAGATAAATCGGGCTGACACTTAATGAGGCGAACAGCATCTCCACCGCCTTCAGTGCTGTGCCTGCTCCTCCTCCGTGTGCACTGGGATGGATCTGCTAGTGCCCGTGGCTCTCCCTGTCTTTGGGATGATGCAGAGCCAGCATAAGGCAGCTGCTGCAACGAGTTTGTGTCATGGGAGTAACACGACGTGTCCTCAATGTGCCACTGAGAGTGGCCTTCACCAGTTATTAGGAACCGGCAAGGCAAAATCGCTGAAAAATCTGTGGGAAATCTTTATAAATATCTTTATAGAATGGAATTTATCAGTACAAATTCATATTCAGAGTAATTTCGTCCCCTCAGGCCTGGTATTTTAACCCTGCAAGCCAGCAGTTCACATGCTATAGTCCACATGCAGGACTATAGGGAACAGCTAAGAAAAGCAAACACTGCTAAAAGGTTTAAKATCAATAAAGAGGAGACCAAGCAACACACTCAGGGATCTGCAAAGGAAAAAGGCTGGAAACCACAGCTGGAGATATATAACTGCATAGAACATTTTGGCCTCAGCCTTTTAAAAAGTGATTCAACAAAGAGCCAAACAGCAAATCCAGACTAAAAGAGTTTCAAAATAAGTCCTGCATCACTTGGGGAACATTTGCAGCACAGGAAAGAAGGAAACCTCCTAAATCCCAGAACCTGGGGGATCCTGACCCTAGTTACACTGGAGGGCTGGGTTTCACAGATACACCTCTGTACAAGAGCTGACTGACAAAAAAATTCCCTGCTCTGTCCTCATAATTAACCCATTTTCATTTTGACCTTGTATGTCATTAACCTTGTGAAGATATTAACTGGACATGTTTTGGATTTTGTATTAAAATAGTTTTCTGAATGATGATAGTCTCTACAGAATTGAAAATGCCCTTAGGAAAATGTCTGTTTTCCATCTGGAAGATTTAAAGGAAATACCTGGTATTCAAACCACTTTGCTGAATGGAACCAAAAGTCACATTATTATTAAAAAAAAAAAAAAAAAAAAAGGTACGTGCATTAACTGTTTTCTCATTGGAAACTGTAGTTCAGGTTCCACGACAGTCGTGTTTTCTGTTTCTCACTACTACGCTGTTTCAATTGGAATCTTGCATGAAGGGAGCTGGAATCTGTGCAGGAAGCCGGGGCCACAGCACTCGCATGCAATTGTGCCCAGAACCACAACCACCACAAAACAAACAAACAAAGAAACAAGCAAACAAAGAACAACAAAAATGCCTCCTTGCAATAAAGCATTCTAAAAACAAAATTTCCAGGGTAATTCTAGCAATCAAAAAAGAAGGACTGAATTTTGGGGGTACCAGATTGTTCGGTTTCCCTGACAAATATGAATAAGAAAACTCCCAGAATCATCATTTCAATATTTCCAAATTATAATTTTAAAATTAGTGCAAATTTTCTCTTCATGCCAGCTTGGGATGCATAAATATTCAAGTCTTAATACTTTCTATGAGACAAAAATTTTAAATTTCACAGGGCTCAAATATGAGCTATTTCTACTGCTCTCCTTGATCTGTACAGTTAAAGTTTAAGAATGTTAAACTAAAGAATACTCATTCTTTTTAATGAATGAAGCAGTTCCTATTAAGTTACTCACATCTGTGGCAAATAGCTAATTAGACACCTTGGTAGCTGAAAAAAAMCCAACAATGTGAGTGATCAAGTCTGGCTTCTTTTGGTTTTACTCATGATGATCAGAGTTTTGTTCTTTCCTCATAACCAAAGGCCAGCCCAGCAAGACTCACTCGGAGGAGCTGGGGTTATGGGAGGGTAAATGAATCATCATGCGAAACTCAGGTTGCAACAGAGAAGTGATTTTGAAATGGAAGCGCCTGGAGAGAGATGCCATGTCTGCGGAAAATCAAGCGCTTGATGGGAAAATAAAGAAGGTCAGACTGATGTGTTTCTAAACAGAATCTAATTTTCTTCCTTCTTTCAAACAGTTGCAGCAATGGAGAACTTGAATGTCTGGCTCCCWGATCTTACTGAAGAACTGCAGGGTAAGAGTAATGCACAAGARCTAAAGCTCCTGCTTGTTTCTACTGTGCAACAGATTTTGATGTAGTTGTTCTGAGTCAACGAAACTCATTTCCTGTGAAAATGTGCTGCTTCCATCTCCTCCCTGTCTGTAAAATATCTTCTCCTGAGGCATTAAATGTGGTGCATTTCAGGGTGAATGACAAGGATTTGCTGCAATTCCTCTTCTGGTCTCTTCATTTTAATGTGAATAACCAGGCTGAGAGCCCTCTCTCTGCACCCTGCATCACACAAGGGCSCCTAACAGGCCTTAGTCACCCATGGCGGGGTGGCAAGACGTGGCTGCAGCTCCTACAGGGATTTGCCCCTTTTTCTTCCAAGACATTTTTCAGGGGACCTTTTCTGCTTATGCCAGTTACTTTGGGAACCAGGAGAAAACGAACCCCGTCCTGCTGGGAATCACTTGTAAAATGTCTAGCCACCAAGAACCCAGCTACACTGTTCCTGAACAGTGTTCCTGAACACTGAAGAACAGTGTTCTTCAGGAACAGTGTTCCTGAACACTGAAGAAACAAACAATGTAAATTATTAAAGAAACACACATTCTTCGTAAGCTTCTCTGTAAGACAGACAGATAATTTTGTACTTCCTTGCTTTCCTTTGGAAGTGAAACATCCAGCCCAATTATCTGAGATGCTGAAACAGCCCACGTGCCAGAAAAGGGCCATTACGTCAGTAAGACTCAGGCTACTGCTTTTTACTTCCTTGTTCTCCATGTGAAAAAATAAACACAAAAAAACCCCACACCACTTTTTTTTTGAGGAACTGGCCTTGTATATGCTCCTTAGACCATGTTCAGCACCCTAATTTTTCCAGGCAGAAGTGTTGTTGGTGACATTTTGCTATCAGATACTGAAGGGACCACATCTCTGCTTTCAGGTCCTGCAGTGTGTTTCTCCAGCTCTTCACAAAGATAAATACTGTGCTCCTCAGCTCTCTCCTGCTTGCTGGCTCTCCTGTGGGTGAGGCTCTCTTCCCCTCTTCGGTTTTCCCTTTGTACAGCGGGCAGCAGGGGCCACCTCTCCCACAGAAGGGATGAGCCACTCRTCTGCACAGCAGCATCTACTCATGCATGCCAGGTTTTATTGGAGTGAACTTGGCTGTCCACTCACTTTTCCTTCAGCTGCTCACCAGATGCCACGCGCTGCCTGAAAGCCAGAGGGAAGAGAGGAGCCGAGGCCACGGCTCTTCTTTACCTATTGCTCGAGACATCGGACCCAGCTGGGTAYAGGCAGCTGCCCAGCTCCAAGGGAAGGGCTGAGTCCTGCCTGGCTGCCCTACAGCTGTTTTACTAAGCCACTGTGCTGCCCCTGGGAGCTGACACCTGCCWCAGCACTCCACTTGGAAGTGATTATGAGGGAATAACAGTAAAATGCCTAGGAATGCTGCTTATAAAAACCACTTGGTTATGGTGATGATGGAAGCTGAAGATAGATACTATTTTACTCTAGCTTGAATTGGCTTCCTCAGGACAAAAGCCTTGGTCATTTAYGGTGAGAGGAAACCTTGCCTGGAATGGTGATGCCAAAGGAATTTCTCTGAATCCATGYGGTTCCCAATTTATTTTTCCTCTCTAACTGGATTCTTGACCCTGAAGACACTTGTTTGCTGTTACCCAGGCTGGAGATCCCTTATCTCCAAAAGTGGAAGGAAT